TATTTTATTATGTATTATTATGTGTGAGGGTGGATTGGAAGAGGGGGTGTATTACTATGTGTGTGGGGGGGGGGATTAAAATGGGGGGGAGTCCCCTATATTTCAGATGCGATTAGGGATTCCTGTGTCACAAACTTGCGTTTTCCTGCACAGGAATCCCTAATCTGGCGTTTACATGCAGCAACTGTCACCCATTCAAATTAATGATCGGGTGACAGCCGCTGCATGTAAACGCCTGCCCACCGCATGTAATGGTATATGAGATGATTAAATGCAGTTACAAAAACAATCACTATCCCTGGATACACAGATAGTGATTGATTCCTAACTGCATGTAATCCTTTCACATATGATTACATGCGATGTGCAGGCGCTTACATGCAGCAGCTGTCACCCAATCATTAATTTGAATCGGTGACAATTGCTGCTTGTGACATGTGCATACATTAAAACTGGTGCGTATATAGTAGCGGCCCCCACGGGACTAAAAAATGTGTCCAGTGGCCCCCGACTAAATTGAGTTTGAGACCCCTGCTCTAAGGACTAGCCTACACGTTTCTAGACTCAATATGATAGAAATATGGAAGCTGAAGACATCAACCCTGAGAAGACACAAGAAGTAGTTGATGATCATGGTGTGAGCTGAGCTCTGCCTGTAATCATTAGCCGTGCACTGACACATTAGTAAATGATTGTCGCCTTTGGTGTGTACACATGTTGTGTCTGTCCTCTCATAGATCAGCTCCCCTCCTACCTACACACCTTGCCCTGCGTCCTCCCTCTGAGTCGGGCCCGTCCCCTCTCCGCCCCTTCACTCCGATAGCTAAAGAAAACTGCTCACTTGAGCTGCAGCCAGTGGCCAGGCTCAGCTGTGAGCATCTGGTGTGGAAAGATCGTCCAGGATGACAGCCCCTCTACTGGGATATTGATGACCATTTCATCTCCCCACCATCCAGCCCCTGGAATAAGGAGTACTTGTCCGGGGAGTCACATTCACTGTCTACGCCGACCTGTCATCTGCCATATACATGAACCACAAAGTCTCCCGGGGACTACAGGATGAATCTGGGGGGTCTGCTAATGTATGTGTGGCTCCTCTATGCGGTTCGTGCTGAGGTAAGGACTTGATGGATGAGAAACATCAGATTTAGCAGAGGATCGGCAGAGTGTAGAAATGGCCATTACCATGGCAACTAATCAGATCGGAGCTTTCATGAATGTGTCTGCTCAACTATTGAAAGGTGATTTCTGATTGGTCGTTCTACGTTATAGCTCACTACACACGTTACAATGTGCGTTAAATCATAACAACAGCTATGTAATGCAAGGACCTTTATGATTGGATACCGACTAATTGGATAGATTAGGTAGATCCTTATATTACACAGTCACATTCAGATTACAACTTGTATGGTGTCCCTATGTCATAAAATTGTGCACCCTGGCCGATACTGTTCATGTGTGGTCTGTCAAAAAAAACCTCTGCTTGATGTGCTTTTATCAAAACGTGCATTATATTGAGTTTGATGGTAACGCATGCACAACGCACCTAAGATGCAGTGCACAGGTGTGAACAGAGGCAAACGTTGTCATATGTGGGACTTTAAAATTGCAGAAGCAGCGTTGGTATATATTTTTTTCTATTAATGTTATTTGCTCATTTTAGAAGTTTTATTTTCTGTTCTCTGGAGGTTTCATTGTACAATATGCTAGAATTATCATATTTTTGCAGTCTTCTGTATATGTAAAAGTCTATACGGAGATGTTGTCCCTTTAAAAATAATTCTGCCTGTTGGCATCAATGATGACTTTCTAGAAGGTGTCTTTTGCAGAAAGAAGCCCTTCTAGGTGGACATAAAATAACGACTTGTACAATAAAGTGCACAGCAATTGTCTGTGTTATGCAGAAGTGGGACACTTCCATACTAATTGAATAGTTACTTTGGTGGTTGTCTGTGATCAGTAGATGTGAACGCTGCTTGTATCAGGGCAATGTGATGTTTGATGATGGGTCACGTGGCAAGGTGATTGGCAGTAGTGCCAGTTGTAGAGGTGACCTGTGTCGTCCAGAATCCTGGCCCTCTGCACCTGCCAGGGTCTGTGTGTGTGTCTGCGGAAGTGTGTGCAGCCAGCTGAACACAGAAGTGAATGTGCAGCCTCAGGGAGAGTTTTCTGGGATGACTGAAAAGGGCAGGTTACATTACAACACAAACACTCGCCTGGGAGGCAGGGAGACTACACATATGAAGGAGATAGCAAGGGAATCTTGGAGAAAACAGTCAGAAATATTTATGCTGGATTCCTTTTTCAATCTTTTTATCACAGGGAAACTCTCAAAATAACTTTCACATCTCAGGGAACTCCTGTGTATAACTATTATATCTCCAGCACATAGGGCATTGGCATGAACAGCACATTTTAGATGAAAGAATAAATAAAAGAATAAGGAATGGCGCATACTTAGGGTTTTCGACACCCAGGGCTCCTACATACAACTACATTTTTTTTAGTAATAAAACACGATAATTTCCAGAAAAGATAATTAGAGCGTGAACATTGTAGTGTTACCTCACATTGGTGGTCAGTGAAAAGTGCCTCTTACATTGGTGGTCAGTGAAAAGTGCCTCTTACATTGGTGGTCAGCGAAAAGTGCCTCTTACATTGGTGGTCAACGTAGTGCCTCTTACATTGGTGGTCAGTGTAGTGCCTCTTACATTGGTGGTGCCTCTTACATTGGTGGTCATCGTAGTGCCTCTTACATTGGTGGTCATCGTAGTGCCTCTTGCATTGGTGGTCAACGCATTGCCTCTTACATTGGTGGTCAACGCATTGCCTCTTACATTGGTGGTCAACGCAGTGCCTCTTACATTGGTGGTCAACGTAGTGCCTCTTACATTGGTGGTCAACGTAGTGCCTCTTACATTGGTGGTCAACGTAGTGCCTCTTACATTGGTGGTCAACGTAGTGCCTCTTACATTGGTGGTCAGTGTAGTGCCTCTTACATTAGTGGTCAGTGTAGTGCCTTTGACATAGTTAGTCATTGTAGCGTCTCTTTCATTGGTGCTCACTGAAGAACTCTGTTACAGTGGTGGTCAGTGGAGAAGAACCGAAGGGCCACCTTTTAGGTTGGTGACTAGTGGAGAAAAATGCCCCCCTTACAGATAACGGAAAAGATCATTGGAACCCTTGGCAACTTCTGGAGGAAACTTGAGCTTCCACGGAACCCTGGTTAAGAAATGCTTTAGAGTGAGATGTGAAGACGTTGGAGTTTTATCACCAGGCATCCCAGTGGCTGTCGAACATCACAAACAAATATAAACATGAAAGTAGAGCTGCAGCTAACGATTATTTTCAAAATCGATTAGTTAGCCGATTATTAGGTTCGATTAATCGGTTAATCGGATAAACAATAAAATAAAGTTTATCATCACCCCACACCTGCTCCTCCTTACTACATCTCCCCGCGTCCCTGTGCCGATCGTGGATGTGGGTGGGCGGTGAGTGTGCGGCGTGTGGAGCATGGATGCGGGCGGGTCTGGCAGCGGCGAGCGTGAGGTGGGGAGGAGGTACGGCGCACAGCGTCTGGAGCTGTGAACAGGGCCAACTGATCGGAAGCCGATTAATCGATTATTGAAAAAGTTGACAACTTTTTCAATAATCGATTATAATCGATTATGTCGATTAGTTGTTGCAGCCCTACATGAAAGCAACTGTTGGTTTATAGTTTTTGTATGGTTGTAAGGCACATAAAAAGCAGCGTGAAAATCCATCTGGCACTTGAGTCTTCTGTAATACAATTATGACAAAAATATGAATATGATCTATTTACAAATTTTATACAAAAAGATTTAGCCACAAGACTAGTTTTCAAACCTCAGTTGAAAATACCTTCCACTTTCCTGAAAGTAAGAATCCTTATGCTAGTCTGTTATTTTTTTGAGCCTATGATGTTTATACATTGAGTAGAAACCCAGGGCAATAGCGTTATTTTCAGTGGTCATTTGGCAAAAATTTTAATATTTTTTCCCCTCATGCTTGGGAGGTGACAGTGTGTCCATACACCTACAGTTGTTTCTGATTGGGATCTCACGGGTTAGGAATGATCTCATGTCAGTTTTAGGTCAAAGCGATGTGAAAGATCCAAATGTTTTATCTCCTCGTATGCAATTGATGGAGGTGCCCTCCGCACACCTTTCAGCAGTCCCGGCCAACAATCAAATAAATGGTGCTCGAAGTAACTTCACGGATGGCACCGTGCAAAACACAAGATTGAAGAAAATAGGTCACCAGCACTCCATAAGTTAAAATGAATGAGTCCTTTTAATGGACAATGATGTCACAGAAATCCAACATGAGCCGACGTTTCGGGGCCACACAGGGTCCCTGTGACATCATTGTCCATTAAAAGGACTCATTCATTTTAACTTATGGAGTGCTGGTGACCTATTTTCTTCAATCTTATCTCCTCGTATGACGCCAAATATATGCACATAGTTACCAGCTGTTGTTTGAAGTGACAGTATTTGCGATTGATACCGAATTGTGCAGGTTAAGTTTAGTGGTGCCCCACATATAGAACCTTAGTACACGTAACAGCACATGTCACAACAAGGGTAGGCAGGAGCTGGCTTTACAGCTGTTACCGACCTGCCTGGCAGGACATAACAGGAATGTGAAAACATTAGAGCCACTTTGACTGGGCCTGGTTTAAGCTGTGCTAGTAATGATACATGTTCCTTGGCTGCCTTCCAGTACAGGTGCAACATGTCAGGATGTCTGGACCTCCTTGCCGCCTTTGTTTCTTTGTTTATAGCATGCTTTTTTTTTTTCTTACAAGTCATCAATTTATTGCTTCTTTTATCTTTGTTTAATAATATCAATGTTCTCATTGCATTCCTCATAGATAAGGAATATTATACAAAAGCATGTTTTTTATGTTTGCTCTAAGCATATATCTGTAGTTCCTTTGCTGTAAAGCAGGCTCTTGTGATTCATATTTATACAAGCCTCAGCACTTCCTTCAGGCAAAAGGCCGACAAGAATCTTGGAACTTGTAGTCCCACTGCAGCTGAAGGGTACCACGATGTTTGTGCCTAGAATAGAGAAATGTTTCATATGTGGGAAGTGGTTTGTTATTGACCACCTTTTTAGACCTTTCCTCCCTCAGCTCCATTGCCAAATATAAGCCTTCCCAGAGCTTCTCACTTTCTCTGTTCTGCCCTCTCACCTCTGCACCAGGGCATTGGTTTCTCTGAAGAACAATAGCTGGCACCTCTCCTTTTGGTCCTAGTATTTCTTTCCTAGAAAGGCTGCATGCCAGAATTTTCTTTGTCCTGGCTTGTTTCTCTTTCTGGGCTGGGTTTTATGTGTGGGAGAATTATATGCAGAGCCTGAACACTTTTACTGAGAAGGGAATTCAAGCTGTATATTAGATGTGTCCTGATGTCCTCTGTCATGTTTTATCTGATTCCCCTAAGCCCTGATTCACACCTGAGCATTTTTTAGCTTGAAGTTCATAGCTCCAAAACGCTCAACAACCAAAATCCAATGCTTGAAAACGCCTGAATATGCCTGAAAATGAGTACTTCTAGTACCTAGATTTCCATTGGCTATAAACACAAATGCTAGCCTGAATACACATGAAATAACGCGCACAAACAAAAAGCCCCAAAGCTGCCTGTAAACACTCCAGTGTAAATGGAG